CTCAGCACTAGGGACTGGCCTCATTGAAGACAATCCCTTCATAGATTGGGAGATACTGGTCCCAGGATAATCCAACCAAGCACAGCATACCTACTGTGTACCCCATTACTACCATGCACACCGCAATATTTTGTACAATAAAAAAAATCACACAATAGGGTTCACGCTCCAATGAGAGTTCAATATGGCTGCTGATCGAACAAGAGGTGGAGCTGAGAGGAATGCCAGAGATCGGGAGTGGCAGCAAACACAGACAAAGCCTACCTTGCTCATCTGTCACCCCCTCCACCTCACCCCTACTGCACACCAGGCAAACTAGCATTGGTTTGTGGCTGGGGGTTGGAGACCACTGCTCTAAAAGACTTAGACTTTGTTTTTCATAAAGTTTTATGTTGCATTGGGTCAAATTTTTCTCAATAATGTAATAACTTTGAAAACCATTTTTTTTCCAACTGTTTATAGTTAATTTCTTCTTCTTCTTCTTCTTCTTCTTCTTCTTCTTCTTCTTCTTCTTCTTCTTCTTCTTCTTCTTCTTCTTCTTCTTCTTCTTCTTCTTCTTCTTCTTCTTCTTCTTCTTCTTCTTCTTCTTCTTCTTCTTCTTCTTCTTCTTCTTCTTCTTCTTCTTCTTTTTGGAGAAATTTTTGCTATAGGGTGTGTGTGCTCGCCAGAGAGACAGAGAGACAGAAAGTGAGAAATCACCTCCCAGGGGGATGATCATACCACAATCTCTTTTCCTCCATTCTCCTCTCGAGATCTTGGGCATGCATGCACATGTGCCCAGTGTGAGTTTAAGCCACCGGGTCTGGGACTCAAACCGCAGTCGACTACATGGGAGTCCAGTGACATAGCCATTATGCTAACTGCTGGTCCCAATTTTTTCTTCTTCAGTTAAACCTTATTAGAAGTTATTTGAAAAATTTCATAGAGTATATCTCCAAAAAAGTGTACATTATTGATCAAGTTACCCTGTTATTTTTTTCCTTATGAATTTAAAGTTATTCAGGGTTTAAGTTAATACATTTAAAAAAAGGAAAATTGTCAGTGATGTAAGCAATGTGTAGCCTGGTTTTATAATTACACTAATTTATTTCTAACATGGCCGAAGTATCCCAGGCCATGAGCCAACACCAGGGTTCTCTGAGAATTTCTTATGGCTTAAAAGAAACATGCCATGAGACAAGGGGTCTTTTAAGAACCTCTTTTGTCCCAAAAGAAAAGAGATTCTTCAAGAGAAGCTGTTGAGTATTGAAAAATTATTTTCTTATAATTGTTTTTACTATTTTTATATTATTTCCGATAACTGTTTCTCTGAAGAAATGTGAATGATTTTTTTTTTATATATCAGTAATGATGGGCCGTTTCAATTCTCAGAATTTATAGCAGTGTGCATAGAAGCAAATCAAGGAAGAGAGAGATCGCCAAATCCCACTTAATAATAATATCATAAACAGTAACACTCATATCTTTAAGGCTTTATGTGAATATTTCTCATAATCTCATACTTTCAGCTTTTTAACTAGCCATCTCTAATTTAAAGCAAGTATACGGACTTCGCCGTTATGCAGAATGGAATGAAAATAAAACAGAGCCGTGCAATGGTTTTGTGACTTTGGATGAGTGACTTAATTTCTTTAATCTTAAATTTTCTCTCTTTAAAATGGAGTTGAAATTTCAAGGATGTTGTTGAAAATTACTTGATATACAATAAGTAAAAGTGCTACATAAGTCTTGTGGCACTTCATAGACTCTAAGAAAGCTAGCTTATTTATTTTACTTTTCTTTTGATTGGAACTGATTCTCAACTTTTCAAAGGATATTTATAGTATTTTTAATCTATTAAAAGCATTACTTAATCCAGCAACTAAGGACTTTCATATTTTGTCGCATTTAGCCCTTATTACACACTTATAATACTTTTTTTCCTTATTCCCAAATGAAGAACAGGGCTCAGAGAGATTACGTAAATTAAATAAATTTCCTATTACTGGTAAATGTCAGCTGTAATCCTAGACTACTTACAGTCAAAGTCTGTTCTCTTCAACAGTTCGACATAGTCTAATTTTGATTAAAAACACAAAGCCAGAGACACAGTCATTTCTCGCTTTTAATTGAGAATAAATTAATATAATAAAATGAAACATGCTATTCATTTTTATACTTTTTTAATATGTCGAGTTTCAAAATGTAAGTCCAATATATCTTATTTGAGATAGTAATTTATTGAATTTCGTTGAGAATCAATAAATTGACATAATAAAATAAAACCTACTAACCATTTTTATACACTTTTTAATATGTCAAGTTTTAAAACATAACCAAAGTACATCCTACTTGATTTGATTAAAAATTGTGCTGTTTAGTAATGTTTCAGTACTAAGATCTGAGATTTCCATTGCTTTCTTCATAAATGACTTATCTCTAGTTTTTGACAACACTCAGAATGGCTGGAGTAGTAAAAATATTAGCAAATGCTGGGACCAGCAATTAGCGTAATGGCTATATCTCTGGACTCCCATGTAGTTGACTGTGGTTCAAGTCTCAGACCCAGAGGCTTAAACTCATGCAGGGCACGTGTGCTTGCGTGCCCAAGATCCAAGAAGAGAATGGAGAAGGGCTTGCGGCATGGCCATCCCCCCAGGGATGATTTCTTGCTTTCTATCTCTCTGTCTCTCTCTGTCTTTCTGGCGAGCGCACACACCATATAGTGAAAACCTCTCCAAAAAAAAAAAAAAGAAAAGAAAAATATATCTATATTAGCAAATGCCATAGGTGTAATGCAGGAAAACAGCATTTTTGAAAACATTCTCTCTCTCTTTCCCACTGGAAAAAAAATGCTTTCTATTAATAACGCTTTTGTCTTAACTTTCTCATTTTCTCCATAGTGGATATATTTATTTGTCTACAGACAGTGAGAAAGAAGCACAAATATAAAACTGGAAAATATAATCTGGTGTTTTACAACTGTCTGGCATGGTTTCTACATAGATTTATGTAGCACAAGCTGCTTACTGCTTTATCTATCCTACGGGCCACTGGCTCAAGGGGACTAATTCAGGATCAAAATTGCCAGAAGAGGATGTACACAAAACACTAAGGAATATAAAATGTTTGTATTTAAATTGGAAAAGGAAGTTTGGGGCACAGTGTCCAATGAGACACAAAAGAAAATAACAACAAACAAATAAAAAAAAAACTAAGTGTGAAGTTTTTCCCTTGGCATTAGTTTTGCAGACAGCGATAGCAACCACATTATTTATTCCTAATACATCACTGCCTCCAATACTACATCTTATTTTTTAAACTGGGAATCTACTGCATTGTACTATTTGCAATTGCTCTCTCTTATGTATTTGATCAGCCTTTCCATAAGAATTTTTACTCCTATGAGGCTGCTAATACTTTATGCTATGTTCCTTGCTCACAATTGCTAGCCTGCAATGGCTTGAAGTTTATTGTTTTAATTGTTTAATGTGGTCATCTGAATTCCAGTATAACATTGAGTCAGTACCCTCTCTACCTGAACGATGAAAATACGATCAAGCCCAAATGAGATAATATAACTTTAAAAAGACAATAAAATTGTGCAGGTCTTTAATAAAAACTAGGTAAAATTTGCATAGACTAGTTTTTCGTTTTTAATATTTATTTCTTTTTTTTTTTTTCAGTGAGAAACACAGAGAGAGGGGAAGAAAAAAAGAGACAAGTGCCATCCATAGAG